TGCTTCAAAAGAACGTAAAAGGTGTTCGTAAATAAGGCACCCCCCCCCCCATCTCGAAGTAGTACTTATTTTCACGTTTCATTGCGTGCATATGCAAATCAGGGCAGTCTGACCTCTTGCAAGTCTATATTCTTTGACAAGACGAAGAATAAACTGTAAAATGCAACATTTAATAGAACTAGTTTTTATTGATATTGTCTTGCTGTATACTGTAAGGTATTCAGCTTAATTAAATAAAAGCTTCTTCAATTAAATCGACTTCAATTTTTTTAAAAGACAGTTACTGTTGTTGTGAGGATCCTAATTTCAGTTCATTCCTTTAAATATATCAACACCAATAGTGTCGCAATGCAGATTAATTCTTGCCCAAACACTTCAAAACACAAACAGCGCCATCTATTGGTTATAATTAGCACTGACTACTTTCAAAAGAGCTCTTGTAATCATTCCAAATAGCACTTCCATTGCTGTATATATTTTAATTTCTTCAATTCAATTTAGATTTTGGTTGGAAAGGATCCGTTTTCTCTTTGATCATCCCATGTTTCCACCTATAGTACAAAAAAGAAAATAGTTGCCTTATTATTAATAAACATAGGAAGTCTGCACCAAGTTGAATTAATATAATGCAAAGTCCAATTCAAACATAACAATGCTGATGTAGCATAATCTATTTAATATTAATTTTAAGTAGGAATTTTTCTGTTCAATTTTAATGAATAGAAAAGTCCTGAAGGGATGAGACTTACTGTCAGTACAACCATGGCAGCATGAGGCTTGCCATCACTATAGAGAAGCCATAATACTTTTACTCATAAATGTTGATATTGTGGAGAAAATGACTTTACTCATAAATGTTGATATTGTGGAGAAAATGACTATATTATTTAAAGTAAATTTTCTTGCTTTGGTTTTTGTTTTAGCATGGCAATCCCGCATATCTTGATTTATTGCCTTTAATTATACACAACTTGGAGATGAATGTTATATGTTTGTTTTTATTTTATGCTCACAGTAACAAACACAACAAAGGAAAAATCAATATCACCATTTAAATAAAAACAAAAAAATACATAAAAACCTAAAAACAAATGAAAAGTTTATGGCACAAAAAAAAAACATCAAAAATTTACCAAGAACAAAAAACATAAAAGGAGACAATAAATATTTAGAATTTTAAGGGAAACAGACAAGGAAGAAAGGAATGACAACAAGGTTTACAAGGAAAAGTAAAGAGTACACCAAAAACAGTCAAAAAAAAAGGGGGAAAAAAGAGGACCAGGGAGAAAAGAAGAGCAAAAGATGACCCTGTAAACCCGTAGGTTTGTATCCAGGGGTCCTGGTAAAAATGAAAAAGGGGAATTTCGAGCTATAAAAGTGTATAACAATTGACAAAGGACACCAACAAAAATTTGTTATGTTAAAATTCTGTTTAGGTGATTGTTTATACTTACCCAGGCATTAGGACATAGAGATCTGTACACTCTTTTAAACCATTCACATGGCTCATAGTCTTCTCCTTTGATTTTCTGGCACCTATGAAAGTCTACGTAATTTTGCCAGCAGTTCTTGGTTTGGTTCTGGTTAGGGAATCTTGCATCAAATGGTGCAGTTTTGTAGTTCTTTATGGCTTCAATTACGTCAGCCATTTTGAAATATCTAAAAAGTAAATTTATTTGTTAATTAATATAGAACTTTTTAAGACCACATCAAGGTAAAAAAAGTAAATCCTTGTGGAGCCACTAGGGCTCATATTGGCTGGAGCTTACCTCCAGTTTCTGTAGCGTGAGGCGGATGAGAGTGTAACACTCTCTCTGGGTGGGATGCTGGTGCAGCGCAGGTTACTCACAGCAATTTGCTGGCACCCGTTGATACAGCTGGGTAGACTGAATCAATGTATATAATCAATCTAACAAGTGCCTTGTTCAAGGACACAAGCAAAATGCACAACGAAAGATTGAAACTGCAAAAGTAATAGCCCAATTTTTTTACGGTAATTCGTTGGTTACAAGTCACGCAGGCCTACTACTAATAAAGTGGTAATAAATCAGTTATATTATAATATAATTTAGGCCCCTATGCATATGACTATTTCATCAATAATAGTAATACACAGCAGGTTTCATTTTTATAATGCATAATTTAATCTACTATATGTGAAAACAATGTTATACAAGTTCAAATAAAACTGTTGAATACTGTATTCTTAATAACTAATAATTGATTACTATATTAGCTGCAAGTGGGCCGGTACCTAGTAACACCACATAATCAAGAGGCTAAAGGATAAAATACTAATACACTAATAAATTAAGCTGTCTATGATCCTATTGGCGCACCATACATAATGCTGTTTATTAGCATAACAAACCGGGCGGCCGACATGATCAGAGACCCAGCAGCAGTACCAGGCCAGGCCTACTTACAGTACTGAGTGCCTCCTAAAAAGGCCGTGCCTAGGCCCTAGCTTAGGGCTTAGGTAGGCCCTGGCCCAGCCTATCATATAGCCTAGGCCTAGGGCTAGCCTATGTATTTCTTCTTAGCTTTGCATGCAGAAAAAACACCAATTTTTATCTAACAAAAATGTACGGATATATAATAGAATCTGATACTTCGAAATATGGTTTTACAGTTGCTGAATACCAACCTACTTCCGATTAATTACAAAAAAACCTGATTGCGCTAAAGATGGCGACTCGGAGTGAAGGCTTAAAGCTGCTCCGATAAGTAAAACGCGCGTTCAGAATAAAATATACTTTTTGTGACAAAATGTTTTCAGAGCCGTAGATAGTTACTGTAGGCCCTATGCCATATTTTATTTATTTATTTATTTAAAATATACACTTTTTATTTCAAACATTGGCACACTTTGAAAGAACAAAGATCTTTTAATAAGAAACTTTTTGGTGCAGACTGGCCTCCCTAGCTAGGCTCTAGGCTAGACGTGACACACAGCGTCGTCGTTAGTTATTCTACCGCCCTCTCTGGGCAGGGCGGCCGGCGTAGAGGCTAGGCCAGGCTTAGACCCCGCTCTATATCCGGACAGCGATTTTTTTTTCCGTACGAAACATTTACATGAAACTCCACTCGGGCCGTCTCGGCTGAATC